TATACATATAAATTCTAGGAGTACAGTTATTAAGTCAGAAAAATCCCTGTCCGCCTTCAAAAAGAATTACCCATATAATTCTTTAGGTTATAATTAATAGTTAATGTAATGGTTATAAATCTTTTATTTAAATAAATAATTTAATATTTATTTGTGATGAAAATAATTTTATATCAAGTAAAAACAGTACAACTCATTTAAAATTTATTTATTTTTGATATAGATTTTACCAAATTATATCCAGCATATTTTTCATTTCTTTTGATAATATTGATTATGTTTATTAATATTTGTTGAAAAAAGTCTTTATACTTTTATATATCTATCTATTTAATAGAATAGTACTTATATAGTCTCAATTGAATTTAAATTCTGATTTTGTGTTGGTTAGTAAAAAAAAACATTTTTAAACCATTTTTTTTAATAATTTTTTATTATATTCATTTAATAATATAATATACTTTATTTTTTAATTGAGTTTATATTTTTTAAAAATTTCAATATATAGTATTTGAATTTTATTGTAACTTTTTTAATATAAATTTTAAAAAAATTTAATATTACAATTAATATTTACAAACAGTCAAAAAAATAAGATATCGAATTATATGATTTAAAAAAATTATAATAATACTTTGTATTTCATAAGTTTGATTTAAGAAATTATTTATATAAAAAAATATAATATGTAATAAATTTTAAAGATATAAATTATTTAAATAATGTTTATATTATAAAAATCTTATACAAATAAGAGTGAAACTATTTTAAATAAATAACAAATCAAATAGAATTAATTTATATAAAAAGTAAAATCATTGAATTTAATAATGATGATAATAATGATAATAAAATCAAACAAATATTTAAAAATTTGAATTTAAATAAATTACAATATATATAACTATATATAGGATAAATATAATATTTATATAAATAATTGTATATAGCTAATTATATTGTTTTTATTATTTTAATAAAATTATTATTATAAACAATATAATAATTATATTTTACAATTATGACTAGCTAATGATTTTAATGATTTTAAATAAATACAATATATAATAATAGGATTATAGTAGAATTATCTTAGTGACAACTTAAGCTATTTCATCATTATAAGAATAAGAGAATTATTATTGCAAGAATTAATAACTCCTTTTCAGTTTATAAATGTTTATATAACTGGATAAAAAGATTAATGGTATCAGGTAAAATTGGAGGGAGTAGTCATAATTTCTCTAAAATTAATCTTCAAAATCACAATTTTTTTTTAGTAAGGTTAAGTCTATTATTTTATCTGCACGCTTGCTTAATTCACTATTCAAGATTTTTTGGTTAAACTAATAATTGTAAATTACAATCATTAGTTAAAAACTGTGTTTTTGACAATGAATCATATATCGTATCCAGGTTATTATGCATCTCTGGTCTAACCCATGATTCTACAATCAGGTTCACATTGGTTTTGCAATATGCGAAACAACATTCTCTCTAAGAATACCTTGACACTAAATCACACATTCCCTTTTATCATACATTCACGAATTTGCCAAATATAACACAAATTCATCAGATATACAGTATATTCCTTTGGCATTATCATGTAGCAATTATGGTTCAGTCAACAGCCATTTACAGTATTGAGCGAGCACACGGTTTGCCGAAGATATGTTGGGGAAGTACCAGAAGATTGTAGCATGGTGTTTGGACATAGTTTCGGGTAATCGTCCAGTGTTGACGAATTATCTATAGTATTAGGAGAACTGAGATGGAGTAATGACAGATGTTGAGATCGAGCTTTAATATTTTAATAAATTTATGCCATCTGGAAAAGTGGATGTTATTCCAATTTTAGTATGTATAAATAACATTCTTACAACAGCTACAGGTATAAATAAAATTCTTACAACTGATACAGGTACATGTATATACAAACTGAGTTTGATTATATCAAGATAACATATAGCATATTATTATGAATAGAAAAAATTACATATACAAGATTTAAAAAATCAATCAAACGATTTTTCTATGAATAGAATATTAATTTACTATAAATACTGTTTTCCCACATCATTATTTTTGAACAGAAATTGGGTTCAAAATATATAAATCGTTCATAATAAAAAAATAGATTACATTCTTATTTACATTGTACGGTCTATCTCCGCTTCACTTAAATCATTAATTTCATAATATGAAATATCATCATGCTACTTGGTATCACGAACGGGGGTTCAACTCTGTTCTGGTCGACACCAATTTCATCCACAATTCTATATTCCAGTATACCTTCTTCGATTAAGGTATCTATCGTGGCGTGACCAAATTTATTGCACATGCTGTGATATTCAACACAATGTAAAGGTGCCGAAACGATGTGCCGAGATATAAGTTTTATAGGACGCTCGGGAATCTTGGAGAGGGTAATGAATTGGTGTTTGGCTCTAATAAACGGTTCGAACTTATCGACTTATGGAGAAAATTAGACAGGATTTTTCCTTTTAAAAAAGACCTATTTCGTCTTAATTAAACGTTATTAAGTCAGACGATCCCTACTTGTTAAATTCCCGTCGGAGACCTTATAGTCCCGTACGAAATTCTGCCAATCCACAATTC